CATTTGACCAAGTCTTTTACCATGACGCTCCAAAAGGAAAGGAAATCCTCCTCCGCGACGTTCTGAAGCTTGACAAGTCCGTCGATGAGATTGTCGAATCGAAGAAGACAGCAAAGGGTGGGCAAGACGACAGCGAAAAGGTCGATTCTTTGGAGCAATGGATCGAAACCCACACGGTTATGGGCTGTCTCATATGCTACAGCAATTCGTGCGAGCATGGAGACTACAGCATTGAGAACCACAAGCGCAATTTCTCTATGGATTGCATCGGCATGTACGGGCGTATGTTCTCAGCAAATCGCACGGTATCCTCTAGTGATCCGGTAGAGCCGCTGGAGCCTCCCCCGCCGTGCGAAAGACAGTGCTTCCAGATCTACGGTACCGGCAGCGCTGATGCGCAGGGGAAGCCATGGACCAAAGATGAGACTCTCTTACTACGCAGCTTGTTCACGATCTTGGATCATAACAAGGTCCGAGTCAAGGCTCAATGCGCTACTGCTGAGATTCTCAATAGAGATTGCCGGGACGTACATCGCCATCTGCAATCTCTGGACATCAGGCTTCCGCCCATTGAAACGATTGATCCGCCGAGGGTCAAAAACTTTCCTTGGTACGATCGCAAGAGAAAGATGCTCTTGGGCGACTGGCAGGCAGAGACCAACTCTCATGATACCAAGGTCCGGCCATCCAACGATCCATGCCATCACGAAGGCCCTTGCTCGAAAGAAAACGACTGCCCATGTGCGCTGAACGACATTTTGTGTGAGCGCTTCTGTCGTTGCACGGAGGAGTGTTGCGCTTGGAAATTTACAGGTTGCGGCTGCCATGGCAGCGGCAAAACGTGTTTGCAGAAACAGAAGGAGGGCCGTCCTTGTATTTGCGTACAGTTGAATCGCGAGTGCGATCCCGACCTTTGCGGAAGCTGCGGTGCTGTTGAGCGAGCCGATCCTGAAAACCGACACGACGACGCGCTCTTCCAGACCGGCTGCCAGAATACCGCCATCCAACGAGGTGTCAGCAAAGCAGTCGTCCTTGGCAAGAGTCAGTTGGAAGGCTGTGGCTACGGTCTCTTCACTGCAGAAGACATCGCACAGGACGAATTCGTGATTGAGTACACGGGCGAGCTCATCGTGGCAGATGAAGGAGTCAGAAGAGAGGCACGCCGCGGCGAGGCTTTCTCTGTAGAGAAGAGCACATCATATGTGTTCAGTCTCTTAGATTACGAAGGCATCTGGGTCGATGCTGCTATCTACGGCAATCTCAGTCGCTACATCAACCATGCTGTAGAAAATGCCAACGTTCAGCCCGGCATTCTCTACGTAAATGGCGAATACCGTATCCGATTTTCGGCAACTCGCAACATCAAGGCTGGAGAGGAGCTTTTCTTTAACTACGGCGAAAACTTCCCTAATCTTACTAAGAAGATGATCAAGGAGAAGGCTGACATTGAAGGAGACGCAGAGTCTGGACCAGAAGAAGGAGTAATACCGGTCAAACGTGGTCGAGGCGGACGCCGAAAGACAGTCAATGGCACGCAGAAATCAGCTGCCCAGAAACTCGCCACGGCGAAAATTGCGAAGAGCGTTCGCACAGGAGCTCGGAAAGAGGCGCCACAGGTGACGATAGACGATTACGAAGCTTTAGCAGACGTTGACACGGCGCCGAATGCAAGCCGGAAGCGCAAGCGCGTCGCGAAGAGCGATGATGAGGATGAGGACTTTCATCCGTCCTTGGAATCAGAAGAGAATGCTGAAGGGCGAGCCAAGGGGAAGCGGCCAGCCGTATCTCGTCGCCGAAGCGGAATACAACGCGTCAGATCAATGGGTTCTATCATACCCTCAGACTCGGAAGCAGATGGTTCCCAGCGAGCAACCCCTCGTAAGCGTGGACGGGCACGTCCCACTAGTTCTCACGGTGTTAGCAATTCTCAAACAACTGCAAAGACTTCGGCAAACCCCGAGAAATCAGCAGTTGATACGCCGCCTCCGAAAAAGAGGCGCGGACGCCCGCCGAAGAATCCTCGTCCGCCGAGCCCAGCCGTGGAAAAGCCACAAGAGGTGGAGCACGTTGAAAATGAGATTCGCGCCAGTCCGCTTCTCACCCGGAATCCTGAAGCAGAGGGTGGCACGATCTCGGTTGACTTGAGCCAGCCTTCGAGGTCTGCACGGGGCCGCAAGTTTACAACGTCTGCTCTTGGTCAGTCTGTTGAGGATCCTATGGACGTGGACGAAGCTGAGGCAGAGATCGACGCGACTCCTTCGCGGTCTAGAGGTCGACGGAGGGCTGAGGGAAATTCGATCACAGCTCGTGGGGCATCTCGGGGTGGTCGCACATCTGTGTCAAGAGCGCGTCGCTTACCTACCGAATCGGATGCTGTCGTGGACTCGGATGAAGAGCCCCTCACTCTCACTCCATCATCCCGGAGGAAGCGGATGCAAAAAAGGGTCCTTGGACCTTTGGAGGTGAACGACAGCGAGTCCAGCTTTAAGATGCCTGGCGTTGGTTCAGACTCCGATGATGATGATGACGACGACGATGACGACATTGTTGGTCTCAAACGCACTTCTAGGCAAAGGAAACTTCCAGCTCGATTCCGTTCATCTGACGAAGAGTCTTGACAATCAAAGGAAGCATGACCCATCGATTGGGGTGACTGCAGCGTGGACGAACATCAATTGAACGCTACTCTGCTGTCACAAAGCATGCTATGATGGATGAGTTAGGATGGTGGGGAGGTAACTGAGGTCGCATTTTGCATTCAGAGAAGGCATGTAGTTAAAAGGCTCTTCAAGTCATACGGAGCTTGGTTTTTGGGCGATGGCGGCATCTTCCCGGGTCTACATTTTTTTCAGGCGTATTCAGGAGTAAAAAGCATACATATCTCATGCCGCGGACGGGATACTTAACAACGTCTTGCTAGGGCAGATGCATTATCCACCGAATATACGTACTTGCATAGATTATTGGTCTTTTAAAGTGCCATGTTACAATGTACCTGAATCGTGAACATGGCGTGCAGCCAACTTGACCTATCGCCAACTTACTCATGGATCGAAGCTCACTTATCTAGAGTTCTGACTGTTCACCGCCTCGTGGCTGTTGGACTTGACGTTCGATTCTAAACCCTTCGACCTATTGCTGAAACACTAGCAGCCATCAGATGCTCGCCCACTACTTCCCAATCGCCCCCTCTTCGAGCCAAGTGAGGAGCGAATGTAACTTGAAGGAACCTACCAAGCCAGTAATTCTTTCTTATGCTACACTGTACATGCTGCTCCGTTGTATCGTAACGATAAGAAAGATGCGTTCGTCGACCTGCGAGAGACGGCCTCGTAAGGCGGCAATGGGTACGCCGCTACTCCCATGCCGCGGTGCCCGTCTTGGATGGAAGATGGAAGCTCCGGAGAGTGATGCGCGGCGACGGGGGGAGATTCTGACTGTCATGCTGATGAGGATCTCTAGTGCCTTAATTGGTCATAGTTGTACATCTGCATATTCCCTTAGAATCCATTTGTCAATGCCATCCATCATACTCTCCAGCCAGTCCTTCGTGAGCCAGGTGTCCAAAGTCTACAACCGTCTCAGCTTCGCAGGTTTCGCAGTTGACATGGCCGTTTCCATCCCGGTGTCTGTTTTTCTCGGTGAGATCTTGCGTCAACCCCTGGATCTGCCTTGCGAGGTGGCCGGCCACATGACAAACCTCATGCGAAATTTCTCGTCGTCTAAGACAATTACTCGGATAAAGTGAGCATTGGCTCCTGCTGCCATCAAGAAATGCCGATAACTTTGATTTCCAACGAACTCTCAACAAGAGGAATACAACCTTAACTCATTCTGAGCCAGCTGAGAAGATCCAAGGGACGGCTCAAACTGTGTTAATCGTTGGGCCGAAACGGATCTCGACTTCGACGCGTGGTACTGGAGCTGAATGAACATCGTCAACTGGGCTGGGACAAGAATGTGTTTCCCTCTCCCATTTTGATACAGAATACTGAGCGGAATGAGCCGCAAGAAAAAAATCCATAGCACCATGCCGAAGAGACTGTTTGATGACTGGACAAGTCCATACGGCGCCATGGCAGATACTCAACCTGTCGTCCCTAAAGGGCCCAACACCATCAGGGGCTCATCCCCCTCGCCCCCAGAATTTTCGCTCAGGTCTTAGACCAAACGACTCGCCGGTTCTCTTGAACCAGGGGCCTCGCGTGCAACCACCTCAGCCAACTATGCCGGTGCAGTTGGCTGAGTAGTTGCACGCCTGGCTTTTCCGGGGTCATCCGTGTCTTAGATATCTTTGTGGGTGAGCGTGCCGTCAGCTGCGGCTTGTGGGTTCGATTCCTACAAATGATCGAGGGGCGGACGATCTTTTTCTCTCTTTTTCTTTCCGCTTTCTTGCAGTAGGTTGGTGAAGAAATAAATTACTTGAGAAAGTCGTCTAGTTTTGCCCTGTACTCGTGGCAGTCTCTATCCGATTAGCGCAAGGTAGGACGAGAGAGATGGATATTCGATAAACCATCATTATCTGGGAGCTTCTTGTCTGCTATAGACTGCGAAGAATAAGCTCGCCCAGCTGGGCTTGGTAGCCTGAAGTCTCACAACTGGGACTTTGAAGTGAGGGATTTAAACGAGCAAACCAGCCGACTGGCTTGAGGAAGAACACGGCATAGTAGCGGTACTGATGGCTTTGACACGACCTATATCCCCCTCACTCTAGTTCATTGAGTAGATACCATACTCGATTGCGCATTGAGCAAAATCTGATTTCTGATCAATCCAACCTACACTAGTACGCGCTCGTCCAAATTTCAGTCTCGCGTGGGTTTGCAGATGAAGTTGATCCACAATTATGTAGCTAAACTTAGAGTTCCGGGAACTAGATGAAGCAATTGCTTGGCACGCTATCCTCTTCAACGACACTTTTATTAACGTGTTGGTAGGTGAATTTATTCAAATTGAACAGCAAGCTTTTTTACTTTCAAAGACCAACAATCAAGTTGCCCTTGCAACTCCCAGGTAAAATGGAGTTATTCTTCAACCAAAATCGCAACTCAAAGTCCTTCGGACGCCTCCCAACACCATATACGCCTACACTTCAAGTATATACAACCCACAGATCGATATCATACACCCACTCGCTCACTCAGCCCGCTCGCTGTGCGACCAGCTGGCTATCTCTTGAAGAACTTCTTCTCGACTGTACGCAGCACCACGTAAGAGACTGCCGCAAAAGAGAAGGCTAATTCAAAGCCAATATCACCGCCAAAGCTTCCGCCAGCAAGCTTGCCAATGGGACCGGTGAACCAGCTTTGTGACATGCCGAGCACGGCACCCATGACGCCCATCAAGAAAGCCACGATAGCAGCGAACCCAGGGGGCAGGCGCGAAGGCGTATCCCAGTCGCTGATGTCGTACCCTCTGATGCCGCGACGGAAAACGACGTGATCAGTGAGACTGACGCCCTCGTAGATGGCGAGCCAGTACGCGATGATGAGCATGAAATTCTCGAGCCAGGATTCGAAGTGGTCGTAGCCCGGAATGCTGATGGCGATGTAAATGCCAGTGCCGACAAAGACCCAGATGAATCGGGGGATACGCTCGGTCTTTCTGGACAGGACCTGCAGAGAGAGCGAGACCGAGTAGATGTTGGGGCAGTTGTTGGCGATGATCGAAAGGGCGAGGATGACGAGGCAGAACTGGCCAAAGCCACCCAGCTTGGTGACCAGAACGGCTGCCAAAAGACCTCCGATTCCAGAGTTGGCGTAGGCGTCGGAAAACGTGGGGTCGGTGACGCTGGCAGTCATGACGGCGGCTCCCAGCAACTCGGTGAAGCACAGGGTGAAGAAGAGGCCGCAGAAGGTGACGAGGAAGACCTTCATCCTGGAAGTGGACGCCGGGTAGTAGCACGTGTAATCGGCCGCGTAGGATGTCCAACCCGTCGCGAAGCCGTAAACGCTGGCAGAGAAGGAGAGGACAGAGCCCGCCTCTGACGGGCCAGTGCTCATGGGCAGCATGCTGTTGAACTTGCCCGAGTGCGCAAAGACGCCGAGAACGATGAGGAAGATGATGGCGCAGGGGATCCAAGAGAATCGCTCGTAGGTGTGGACGATTCGGTAGCCGAAGGTGCAAATCATTAGAGTCGAGATGGCAATAACGAGGATACCAGCCCACCCAGGCATGTTGTTGTTAACCGCATGGAAGAGTTGTGCACCGACGATGGTGTTGACTGCCGACCACCCTAGACAGGCAAGGATATTGAAGATGGCAACTGGTTCAACCAGTCAGTAAGGCCACGGCGATTTGGCAGATAGTCACATACTCAGCTTGACAGCGTAGAAACCGAACCAGTAACGGGACAAGACCATTTGTCGCAAACCGAATGTGGGGCCGAAAGTCGAGAAGAAGCAGACCGGTAAGACCCCTAGAAAGTTGATAAAGACGATGGTCAAAGCCGTATCAACAAATCCGAGACTGAAGACTGGAATAGCCAAAACACCAATGGCAAAGGATGAGACTACCATGTTGGCAGAGCACCACTGTAGAAGGGTCAGGATGGTTTCCTGGCGGAATGAGCGCAGCCATCAAGCTGGACTTACCAACGTTCCGACGTTGGCGACGGCATCGTTGATTCGTTCGTCTTCGGGGACCCTCTCGATACCTCTCTGCTCGACACCAAGCTTGCCCGCCAGCCTTTGCAGTCTCGCGTAGGTGCTGGTTCCGGTTGCGAAGTCAGCCTGGTGAACGGCATGATCATCCCCCAAGAAGCCTCGCTCGACATCGGTTGCCGACTTCTTTTCCCCGCCAGTCGACGAAATGTCGCTTTTGGTCTCGAATATAGCCATCATTGGACTGTGGTGATTCCCGTGAGGTTGGTGATGATATTGGATCTAGTTCACCGACAGCTCATTGCTTTCCCCGAAAATGGACTGGGAATGGTGGACGAGGGAAAGGTTCGTGGGCGGGAAACCGGCAGAGACGAGCAGATGCTCAAAGCACTGGTAAATTATGAGGGGATGAGACTGAGAGATCCACGAAGCAGCCAGAACATGTAGTGGCAAGCCGAGTAGTAATATTCATTGCGGAAAGTGGAGGAACCCTTATCAGGGCGCGACAGACGGCGGACCGCGGAATACCCAGATTTCTGGAGTCTAGATACAGCCTCAGTCGTGGGCTTTTGCAGAGCACACACCAAGTCCTGACGCGAAACTGGTGTAGGTGGGGGACATGGAGCGATCAAGATAAGAACCGCGGCATTGAAGAGCCTTTGATGGCCCACCGACGCGTCCTTGATGGCGGGACTGGTGTGGTTCGGAAGGTGGCCGGCACTTGACAGCCGTTTGGGATAGGTTCGGCAAGGGGAACTGGAGCTCTCGAAGTAAGCTAGAAGAAGAACTGGGAGGCAAAGTTCGGGTGTTCCGGGCTGATCTGTCCAATGGCGAATTTCGAATGGGCAATGATTCTGGATACTTGTTGGTCACTATGGAGGCAGTCAGGCGATAGTTGCGGAGGCCGTAGCCCGTAGGTCAGGGCTTGACGTGCTTCTCCAAGACAACGCTGATTTTTGCCCTTTTTTTTTCTCTGATTCTTTGGCAAAGGGTATCACCCCACGATGCAAAAAGGAGGCATACTTTTTTGAGTGGACGCATTGCAGAGTACCATCCGTGCTGATAGCAAGCAGGGATTGGCCACCCAGACATGCGTCCCAGGTTTCTGTTAGTCCGTGAACCTGCAACACGGGAGGCAAAATAGGAGAGGCCCGGTGAGTAAATTCGAAGAGTCGAGGGTTGCTGAAGATGGCTTATCTTGGCCGACGAATCTGAACGATAAGATAGACCAGGATTGAGGGGGATTAGGAGGACTGCAATTGGTTGTTGGTGACCAGTATGTCCGCTATGGGGCCGAGTCTAGCTGCCGCAGAGCCGAAAGCATGAGAAGACGAGAGATTGATGATGATCTTGAATGGCTTCCATGCGGACTAGAGTCTAGCGCAACAGATGAAGTTTGGGGTCTCCAGATGGGGGAGAGACACAAGTGACAGGATTGACGAGCGCCCGGGTCCGAAGTCTGGAGATAGGAGGTGCCCGTCAGATCTTATCGTTCTTGCTTCGATCGACACTTGAGGGCAGCAGGAGGTATCCGTAGGAAGAGACCGAAACATCAATAGCCGGCACGATAGGTACCCATGCATAGTTAGTACTCCGTATGGCGTAGCGAGTCGTGACTACTGGCAGTGACAGCAAGTAATGACTTGTGAGTGGTGACTGGTGAGATGCATCGCGAAAAAGGGAAGGGCCGCCCACAACTTCCCGGCCCAGGGTTCGTGCCCACAAAGCTTGTCTGTTTGCAAAGTAGAGGCATGGCTTGGCGACGAGACACTAGCCACATATCTTGTGGCGGTACACAGCCAGCATCGGTCCCTCCAGAATCCAAGATGAATAACATCTCTTCCAACAACAAGACACTTCTGTTCTCAGTCTCAACTCCCTCATGTTCAACATTCCGACAAAATGAGCCATTCGGTCCGCTTACCTCACCCGAAAGACCATGACTGCGTTCGCAGCAAAGCAGGTGCAGGCAGAGTTGTGGCCCGGTCCGTATTCACAGACATGAGAGAACGCCCGTCTGTCAACTGATCTCTTTACATTCCACCGGACCCCAGGTTTTGAACGGGCTGCTTCAGCGCCATGCTTGAGAGGCTTCGGGAATCTCGCAACATCTTGATCATTCCCCGCTCAAATTGTCTCGATGCCAGCCATGGCGTAGATTGTACCTCGATGCTCTCCAGCCCCTTTTCGACCTTGCATTGGTGCAATTACGCCGCCTTCTGGAGAAGGCATTTGACGAATTCTCTACGCAACTATTCCGTATCCTGACTACCAACTCGAGAATAGCTGACGCTCGGCACGCGTTTCGACCCCAGGACAATAAATAATTGACAGCGCGAGGATTTGGGTCAGGTAGCGTCGGATGAACCACTGGCACCTTGTATTCGAGTCGTTACCTCGTTGAACACATCGGCCTCGAAATGTTACGCAGTACACACAACCCCCATCCTGCAAACGGCACGACGTGGGGTGACACCAAGCAACCCAACCACAGACGGACATGTCTGGCTCCGGTTGGTATTCGTACGGATACGTGGAACACGGCGTGGTCACCGACCGTTGACACTGGTGCAGCGGATCCCGGCAGCCGTCAAGGCTCCTTGCTGGCAGCAGAAGCAACACTTCTGAGCACACGAGTCTGGAAGAGTTCAAGTCGAGGCTACAAATGCCTACTACGACGGGCTGTCCTACAATTTCGTCGTCCTGAAACCATGGGGATGCAGGGGAGTGAGACTTCACTCTATCGCCCGATAACACCATTCGGGCGCTCCCTTCAGACCTCTCGCGGGATTCAGACCTGTTCAACAATGTCGTCCAAGCTTCTGCCGCTAAATCTCTTCGCACCAACACGGATGACTGCCAAGCAAAGCTGTTGGGGGCATCTTTCGTCGTCTTGACGCTCACAGCGCTGGGCCCCCACTGTTTGCGGTCGGGTCGTTCGTTGCATGGACTCGAGAATCGAACGGACGCCAAAAATCTCGACATCAACGTTGGACAAAGAAGATTCAGCGGCCTCCCGTCAGCCATTGCGTGATTTAAACGGCGGTTGGACCAAGATTGCGTCGTGAACACGAGGGAGAGCCACGCTGAGTCGCTGCCCACCAAACCCCACGATCCCGCTCAGAGTTTGACTTACCAGAATGCAATCTCATCAGAGGTTTCAGCAGCAAGCCATGGCGAACCTTGTTTATCATCGTCTAATGTCCCGACGCGATCAACACACCAGGAAAAAGCATGGACGGCATTTTCCAAACATTTGCTTTTTGGCTGCAGTAAGGCTGGGCACCTTCGACGGTAACGGCCGTTTGTTTGCGCTCTACAATCATACCAGATGCTTGAGTCGGTCATCAACCTTTACTTGCGTCTTGGTGCCTCTCAGCCACAGTTTCTATTCTTGTCCCATATGTCGCCTCCCCGAGCTCGCCGGCTGTGACTCCCGCGCCTCAGTTTCTTCGTCAGAATCTTCGTATGCCTCAGCTCCCCACCACAACAGCGCCAAACCTCCCCTGTCCTAGTCCCGCGCCCTCAGCTCGAGCTAATGGCACAGACAATGCTTCCCAGATTCCCAGCATTCTCGGTCCCTGCCGACCACTAGCCACTTTGTAGAACTCGTTCGTGACAAAATTGCCAGTAGCGTTTGCTTCCCTTCACAAGGTCTCGGCCAAAGCGATTGAATGTCGCCGGTCCAGCAGACCATCATCCACAAGGTACAACCCCTCCTCTTTCTGTTCGCGCCCTACGTCCCCCGGCAATAGCCCTGGCCTAGTAGATCTTGATCCATCAGACTCGATTTCGTTTGTACACTTGGCAGTTCACCCCCGGTCAATTTCTCCTCTGTAGAACGGAACACCTGCCATCTCCTCCTCCGCCAGAATGAAAGGCAAAGGCTACCACGGCTGCTACAAGACCGATGACACCAGGCATCGTGTATCCGACTGTCAAATTTGAAGCTGCCGTGTCTCAGTGATGCACATGAATCTTGCCCAGGTGATGGATCGTGATTCGAGGGGAATTGCCAGGCACGTGTCGTCTGTATCTCTCCCTTCCATCTACCATTGCTTTCCAGAATCGGCCGGCCCTCGTAAACCACCCCCCCAAAAGCACCCCTGGGCTTCCGGATGACTGCGACGGGCGGGAGATGGGCATCGACTAACGGCCGGAGCAAGAAGCTGCAAGGCGTGGCGCGGACTCACGCCGTCACCCTCGGGCTTTCTGATGGGAGCAGGATGCCTCGTGTACGAAAGTACATCTTGTTTTTGTTTGCCCATATTAAATAGCATTCCTCCCGCCCTGTCATCACCCAGGACTCGACCCCACTGCATTCCGTGAGATACCTGGTTTGTAACTGAGCTTCATAAAGAAGTCTCTTGGCCTCTTTTCCGCTTTCCCGCCCTTCTTTACTCGTTTCTTCACTTGTTTCCTCCCTGTGTCTCCTTCGCTACCTTTTCAACCTCTATCGCTACCTTCAACAAAGCGACGATTTCGGGTTTCCAATTTCCATCAGGTATCTCGGACAAAAGTCAAAGTCACTCGACAAAACATCCACAACAAACAAACACCAACTCGCCCAGCTCTTGTTTATTATATTCAAACGAGAAAATGCAGTTCCCCGCGGTATTCTCCATGGTTCTCGCCATCGCCTCTCTCGGCGCCTTCGTCCAGGCTCGCCCGTCTCCCTGTCCCGATGTTCGTCGCTCCCTCCTCCATCCAACACCCCTCCGGTGTCCACCGCAATATCACTAAGAGATTCTGACTTTTTTCATATATAGTGGAAGCGAGATGACATCCTCAACGGCAAGGCCAGCCCTGAGATTTGCTGCTCATACGGCGTCTGCAAGGGCGATGTCGTCGTCGTGAGCGGTTGAAAGAGCTTAGAGGAATCATTTCCCATCGGGAAGCTCAAAGGTTGCAAAACCCAAGCTCACGCAATAACGACTACTCCGCAACACACAATAGGCGCGCCGTAAAAATCCATCGTCAAAGCGTTCATTCAACGTTAACACGACGACGATGAAAAGGCCCTGCCTGCTTCCCCCCCCCCACCACCACCACCACCCAACACAAACACCCCTACCTATCATACAAAAGCCAGACAGTCGACTAAGAAAAAAGACGACATGCACATATCGGCATTCCACATATGGGCCCCCAATCCTCCCAAACAACAGAGTCAGATAGATACGCGGCGTTTTTTACGGGCGCAACCTAGGGTCTTCCCACAAATTGGAACCCTTGCTTTTTATTTTGCAGGAAACCAGGGATTAGCAGACTTCCTATTCGGGATTGGACGACGGACAGACACCGAACCACAGAAGATGCAGATGCACGCAGCACATCCACCACACAACACTTTTCGGTCTGGCCATGCCGCATCTTTCGTCGGGTATCTTGGCGTGCTTGAGGATATTCCTCTTCCTCTCTTTTGGACGAATGGGAAGGGTCGGTCGGAGTTCCGCTGCCCCCCTCACCCTCTCGGCTTTCAAGAAGATGTTTCTTGGGTGGTCGGGCGGCGGAGTGAGACGGCTGCACCGGGCTTACACTAGACACGACTTGATGGTTCTTCTGCTAGTTATTAGGTCATCTTGTCGAGAATGGGCTGTCAGGACATGAGAGAGTCAAAGATCGACCTCGCGGGAAAAGGACACTCCAGGTAGAGAGTATTGAAGAGATCAAAATAAAGCCTACTATGAAATCATACAGAAAATGTCATGGTCTTGATAGATCACACCATCATCAATCACATGCTCAAAGCCACAAGTAAAGACACTATGAATTTCAGACTTATTTTCAGGAACGGGATACGGGTCCACGAGATGCCAAAAAATGCACGTTTGTTGCTGACTGGGGCGCCTCTCGGAGACATTTCCTCTTCTCTCTCTTCGCTCACTCTTCGCTCACTTTCCCCCCTCCACGTTGCGCGTCCATTGGCCACTGTCTCGTATCGCCAACATCGGTCCATCGGGTAGCTTAGCTTTCGTTTGCACGATAAGCGTCCCGCATATTCGGTACGAGAAAACGCCGTCTAGCGGATGTTCCAACCTCAACCTCACGAGACAGACCGCATTCGTCGATTTTCCACGAGTTCGTTCGCCAACCTTGAAGGTTGAGCCCCATCGTACGTTTTTTCACTTGACTCAGTGATCTTGATCTCACACCCACCCACATAACCTCACCTTGACATCACCAGATGTGCATGGTGAGCTAACGCCAATGCTTCACGAGGCTGTTCCGGCGAGAAATGTCTCTGTCGAGACGACGAACCCGTATGAGCCCTACGGCAAGGCTTAGTGAGCTGTTCGTTCACTTTCCGTCGTAGCCGTACCCGCAATCACAAGCAAATCCACGGCCATGACCAAAGTGGGGGAACGAGAGGGTATAGACCAGAGAAGAAGGGGGCAAAACGAAAACTCACAGAAATATTGTAAAGGCACACCTCGGGAGCCCCAGGCGTCCCGGTCCCGCAACAGTCCTCAATCAAGATGCAATCCCACCCGGCATTATACGCATCCGTCAGCGTGCCGAGGACGCACTGGTCGGTGTTGACCCCGGCGAAGAGCAGTGTTCGTATCCCTCCTGCTCCCCTTCCCTCACCGGTCCCGGAGGCAGCCTCCTCACCATCTTCATCACCCTTCCGAGTCCGCTCTAGATACTTCCGAAGCGGCTGCTCCGGGCTCCACATCCCCGACATCCTATTCTTGTCGCACCGCACATCCTCCTCCGGGCGGAGGCTGCTCCGCTTCAGCGGCTCGTAAATGTCGGCGTTCCACTCGCCCGCGACGAGGCAGCGGCCTCTGCCGCCGCCGAGATCTGCACCGAGGCCGAGGCGGGCGACGGTGCCCTTGTCGTTGGTCGCCTCCTCGCCCAGGATGAGCGATCGCGAGAAGCCGCGTTGGACGCTGGCGGGCATCCGCGCCAGGTCGTCGTCGGTCAGGCCCCAATTTAGCCAAATTACCTGCAATAGCAAAAAAAAGTGAGCTACGATACGTCGCTTGTTTAACCGCCACCACCCCGGCAAAAGTCCCCTTCCCCCAATCCCCTTCCAGGCATCTAACCCCCGCGTGCCCCTCATCTCTGTAATGTCTAGCGACTTCTGCTCCTATTCCTCCGGTAAGACGGGCGGTAACGTCTGCCGGATGCCCCGAACGTCCGAACAGGGCGGGGGAGAGTAGTACAGAATGGGTTCAAGGCCGTACCTGAATACCTAATTCGCGGCATTTCTCAACAACCCTCTTGGTCTGCTCCACCGCAGCCAGCCCGGCCGGGTGGTCTCGACAGCTGGGGTGCAAAAAATAGTTTTGCATATCGACAATCACGAGCGCCGTGCTGTGGGGGTTCACCGAAACCGACGTCCCCGCTGGTCCTTGGCTGGTGCCGACCTTCCAAGCCGGCGACCGGCCCCGGGTGAGATCATAGGTTCGCGACGGTCTATCGTAGTGCCACTCGTCGCCCGGCGGGCCAAAGGTCAAGTCTGGGCGCATGACAAAGGCGCGAAAAGGGTCCGAACTTTTTCCTCGGATATTCTAGTCCCGACGGCGGCGGGTATAGCTCACTACTTGCCCCGATTGCGGGTAATGTGATATGGTCTGGAGCGATTGGATGGGTGTAAAAGTCACTGAGTGTGTGTAGAGGTTGAAGAAGAAAAGGTCGCATTGCTCTCATGCAGTACCAAGAAGTCGGTAGATAAGAAATCCCGCAGAGCGCGCACAAAGCAGCAATGCACTGCAGCGCTTCTATCGGATGGAGGTGTCAACAGCCTGGTCTATCTATCAATTCTTCGGGAAGATGTGCGTCGGCGCGGCTATCGTCCGACCCCGCGGCCAACAAGAGTTGCCCGGCCTACTGCAGGACGAGAAACAGACACAGTCTCACATGCCAACATCATGAGGTTCTGACTGCATCAGTATGCAAGGCAGCAAATTTCCAAATATCTAATTAGCTTTCGGGAGCGCGTCTGGGCGTGATGAGACGATGAAACTTTGAAAGACTTCCCCATGAAGGCGCATCTCGAAAAGGGAGGTATAGGACCGAGGCACGATGCCCACTGCTACCTAAGGCGTCTGCCGCATGCGACTCCCCGGTAATTAAGGCGAAGTTCGAATGGGGGTAATTCGGGGCCGACCTCCAAAATGTTTGGAGACTAGATGGGATGGGAAAGGGAGGGGAGGGGGTTCAAGTTTCCGTGGAGCTAATAAAGGATCTTGCGTCGGCCACAGTCGCGATTCGTGGAGCGTCATGGTCCTCAGCAAGCGACAATACGACGGCAAGGGAAAGGCGATGGTCGACCATAAACCGTACAGATGCGGAAACCCAACGAAGTCCCCTGGTTCGGATACCACGTGAACGCAAAAGAAAAAATCCCCGTGGCGCGTGTGTTGAGATGGTTGCCCCTCCCGGCGTGCCTGGACCTGGCAAAGCGCGAGACGTGCCGCTTCGTTGTATCCGTAGTGAGACTATATGAGAGAAAGCGTAGTTTGTCAGTGAGCTTGTCGCGGGGAATGGTATATGTCGGGTACGGATCGTCATCGTGATTGGAGCGGAAAGTCGCAAAGAGGATGAATCGGTCTTACAGCGACCGAACGATTCCCACAACGCGGCAGCGCCCCACCCCTGCCAACAAGCTTCGACCCTGCGTGACGTTTCGACGTGGGGAACTGGGGTCAAACTATTCGCCTTGGGCGACGAGGGGTGATGAGGGGCTGGATTCGAATAATTGTTGACCACAGGGCCGACGAAGCTGCTGGATTGTTGGCCGGCCCAGAAAAATAAAAACAAAAAATCCACGAGTAGCTCCAAGGTATATATCCAGCCGGGCGACTGTCCGGTCGTGTGTCGTTCTGTTCCAAGCCGCTCTACTCTTCCTCCTCTCTGTCCGCTTCGTCTGTTCTGTTCGTCCATACGCTCGACTCAGGTTCTCGCCGTTGCTGTCGCTGTCAGTCGTCTCGTCAATCTTGCACGCACGTTTCATACCCCGCCGACAGATCACATTATTACCTGGCAAGAGAGATACTCTCCCGGACCATTCTTCCATCACGCTCCTCGCACACACACAGAGACAACCCAGCTTTCACAATGTCCCCTTCAGCTGTTGATCCTCCCGCCTCGGTCGGCTCCGTTAAGGTGTCCAAGGCCAACATTGGTGTCTACACCAACCCCGCACATGACCTGTGGATCAACGAGGCCGAGCCCAAGTTGGAGGCCGTTCAGGCCGGCGAGGGACTGCAGCACGGCGAAGTCACGGTAGCCATCAGAAGCACCGGCATTTGCGGGTAAGGATTTTCGTGCCAGACAAAAGTGCCCCCCTTAAGATACAAGGACGAGACTAACGGAGAGATACAGATCCGACGTTCACTTCTGGAAGCACGGATGCATCGGACCCATGATTGTCGATGGCGACCACATTCTCGGCCACGAGTCCGCCGGTGAGATTCTCGCCGTCCACCCCAGCGTCACCCACCTCAAGGTTGGTGACAGAGTCGCCGTCGAGCCGAATGTCATCTGCAACTCCTGCGAGCCTTGCTTGACCGGTCGCTACAACGGTTGCGAGAAGGTCCAGTTCCTGTCCACCCCGCCGGTACCTGGTCTGCTGCGACGATACGTGAACCACCCTGCCGTCTGGTGCCACAAGATCGGTAACATGTCATATGAGAACGGTGCCATGCTGGAGCCCCTGAGTGTCGCTCTTGCCGGTATGCAGCGTGCCGGTGTGCGCCTTGGCGATCCGGTCCTCGTCTGCGGTGCCGGCCCCATTGGTCTCATCACCCTTCTCTGCGCCAAGGCTGCCGGTGCCTGCCCGCTGGTTGTTACGGATATTGACGATGGACGTCTGGCCTTCGCCAAGGAGCTGGTGCCCACAGCCATCACCCACAAGGTCGGTCGTGGAACCGCCGAGGAGGAGGCCAAGCGCATCGTTGAGTCCTTTGGAGGTGTTGAGCCGGCCGTCGTCATGGAGTGCACTGGCGTGGAGAGCAGCATTGCTTCGGCTGTTTGGGCCTGCAAGTTTGGTGGAAAGGTCTTTATCATTGGTGTTGGCCGCAACGAGATCAGCTTCCCTTTCATGCGCGCTAGCGTTCGCGAGGTCGACATCCAGCTGCAGTACCGCTACTGCAACACCTGGCCCAGAGCCATCCGTTTGGTGGAGAGCGGTGTTGTTGACCTCAGCAAGTTGGTGACACACAAGTTCAAGCTCGAGGATGCCCTCGGCGCCTTCGAGGCGGCTAAGGACCCCAAGTCAGGCGCTATTAAGGTCATGATCCAGAGCTTGGACTAAACCAAGCCTGATGGTTAGACGACACGATTGATTTTTTTGGGCATAATATGGCGGTGCTGGCGATTTGGTGTCATGGATGGGTTTTTGACTATACTTTAGAGATATGTTCCCAATGAATTCGTATGACAATATGAAGCTTCCATCAGATTGACGATGCTTGTTTGTAGGCAGAGATGTGGACTGTTGGTGGTGGTTTTGGTGTTGGTGTTGAGAGCGAGGAGATGGGGATGACAGGACTTGAGCATTGTAAGTCAGTGACAAACTGCTTCCATACAAGGTAACTTGACATCGACATGGGGCAGATGAGAATGCAAGAGGTATCCATTCATGGGAAGAACCCATTCTGCCCCAGCACCTGCCAGTGAACCTTTTCTCACTTAATGGATCTTACCAGTGAACTGTGCCTGCCTGCACCTGTGAACCGCCCTGTCACGCCTGCCCGCACTGAAGAGAGCCCCCACTTCCCTTGAAGAGATCCACTTCGTGATTGGTTAGATCTCAAAGCGGCATAGTCCGCTGGGCCGACGGGTGCCAGTGCCTCTTTCCCCTGGGAGCAAGGGAAAAAAAGGTACCTATTCCTTGTACCTGACCTTAGCAATTGACATTTTTCATAAGCAAGAAAAGAGAAGAGCGCACGGGCCATCGCTCCTCCGGCTCGCAACAACAGCACAAGCGAAATCTTCCGAGAGGTCGGGCAGACTCTGGCAAGAGAGACAGAGAGAGCTCTTTTTTTCACTTTACGCAAAAAACATCACTCACCACCACCCCCTTCCCATCAATTGGCAGCCAACGAAGCTCCTTCTTCGACCCCGGAGCCGCCCACATCGACGCACCCCGATCCGAGATCCAGATACCCCGATTTTTAATCCGTCGACCTCCTCTCTCTCTTCCACAACCACCCAACCCCCCGGTCCAAGATGTCTTCCGCCCTCGCCCGCCCGCTCATGCGGACCACCGCTCGCACTCTCCCTTCCCGCGTCGCCGCTCGCTTTGAGTCGACCACCACCAAGAAGGCCACCGAGTCCGCAAAGGATGCTGCCGGCAAGGCCAGCGAGTACTCGGCCAAGGCCGCCCAGGGCCTGAGCCGCGCCGCCAGCGCCGCCGGTCCCGCTCTGTCTGGTGCTGTCAACGCCCTCGGCAAGGTCGGCGGTCGCACCGGCAAGGTCATCAACTTCATTGAGAGTACGTTATAATCCGGTCACGAGGGGATCTCTATGAGCAGAGGCGCAATGGAGCGCGCATCCTTGACTTCAAGGGCCAATTGCTGACGGATGTCCGACTACAGAGCAGGTTCCCTGGGTTGTCTACTACTCCCGCGTCACTCTTGAGCTGTCCAAGATTGTCTTCCACGGCCAGAAGATGGCTCCTCCGTAAGTTCTAGCACCAGAGCGAAGCGTCTTGTCCGCCCAGCTTCTGACGAAAGAGATACAGCCCCGTCAGCACCTTCCAGTCCTACTTGCAGCGGGCCCTCGGCGCCGTCAAGAACCCCAACGCCCTCCTGAGCTCCGCCTCCTCAGCTGCCAGCTCCGCTGCCAACACCGCCGCCGCTGCGAAGCCCGCCACCATCGCCTCCCGCATTAACACCGCGACCGTGGCCACCGGTGCCGTTGTCGCTGCTGAGTGCCTCGGTTTCTTCACCGTCGGCGAGATGCTCGGCCGCTTCAAGCTCGTTGGTTACCACGGCGAGACCCACGCCGCTGCCCACTAAACGAAGAACCTTTTGGAACTTTGCTCCCCACCGCCTCGTACCGATTCGAAACGACGACGCGAAGGAGCAGAAGTTTGTTTCCCGGGTTATTAATTCAAACTGCATCTAAAGAAAAAGAGCGCAAATGGTGGCTTCGGGCTATAGAAACTGGTAGGAAAGGGGGTGTTTTTATTTTGGAACCAAATGACATGAATGCTCGATGCCTGTGGTAGAGGTTCATGTTATCCAGTGGCACAGCTCCCTACCGGTCGAGATTCCATTGACCGTCCAAGGGAGCTGATGTACTGGAAGAGCAGCAAAGAGAATCAGTCTCGGGGGCCTTGGATCCGGCCACCGCCGTACGTGTTTTCTCAACAGGCCACCTTATTATTTCCTTATGTAGACTCTGTACATCACACACGTCAACCGCGGCCCACCCATGCTGCGAAACCTGCCTCCTGCAGGTAAATAACAGGAAACCTTTTGAACTATATGGCGCTCGGTGGAACCACGTTCGTAAGAGTGTAATGGATTGAAAGCAGAGGGTGGATGTGATACTTTGCATTGGCAGGAGCCTTGACCTTGAGACTTGACCAGCACTCTGACTGGTTGGATGAGAATAGGCTTGTCCTTTCTGCCACTCTGCTATAACTCACTCCATCTCGAGAGACCATATTGGTCGATGAAGGTTGTTCCTTACTGGGAACGGACTGGCAAGTTCGATATTACAGCGGACCCTGCCATCTTCTCATCCAGACCTTGATGATGCTATAGATATGAAGCCAAAGCTGTGACGTGTTGAATTCAGGCATACATTTTCATGGTCAACGACCTTCGACGATAAACCGGAGTTTGCGTCACAACGTCACTATCAACTGAGCTACTCACCTTAGCCAAATTCAGGAGAGCCCAGCTTTTTTACTTGCTTCATCCCGACGGCCCAAGTTTTCCATCCATCACTCGAAAAGCACCTCAGCGTATGACGCTAGAATACCAGCGGGGTTTGTGTAGCTAGGAGTGATGAGATTGCAGTCTTCATCTACAATCAACGCCCACTCTGGCCAAGACCAATAACACAGAGCTCCTCTCTACCTGTCGTCTGTTATTATTCCCTTACCGGCTCCGGTAGGACGTTACGGTGATTCATCTCACTTCTGAGTGAAGTAGAGATGAATTCCTCCCGACATGGAAGGCACTTCCCCCCTCTCCTTCCCTGACCTGACGTACCTACCTACTTAAGGGGTCTATTCACCGTTCCCGTCACCAGCACAGCAGCGCCCGTCTAGGTCGGCGAGGTCAGGTCAAGCTGTGTGCGAGGTGGTCGAGTTGGTTAAAATAATAAACAAATGCTCCAATGAAGTCAGAGTCCGGGTTGACCGAGGGGCGCGCTGTTCGAATCTGGGCAGGGGCGTGAATTATAAGGCCAGTATCCCCCCTCCTTCCTTTCCTATTCCCTTTTTGCTTTTTGATTGTATTTCTTGAGTATAGACGATATTTATGATTCTACCTACCTGCAGAAGGTGGATATCTCTTTTGTTCCTTTCCAATGAAGTACCCACAGTACAACTCACTTTATATATAGTCATGAAGAACATGACATATCGATTATGCTGGAGGCCGTCTGCGGCAAAACCTGGTAATGACGCGATCGGCGAAGCCTACACCTGGACATGGAGATAATCGTCTCTCGGACTCTAGGAGGTGTGCTGCTTCTGTCTGGCGGTGGATGGTAAGGTGGATTACCACTATGGTTAGAAATGCTTCCTTGCCACTATCCCATGCTTCTTCAACTATTCTTAAGTACCAGAGATGAGCATCCGACAGGCAGATGAGTATCAGAGGTGTGACTTTAGATCATGCCGTTGAACAGACACAAATAGCTCTATCAAAAGCTTCGCTCATGGAAATACAGCCAGCCGTCCCAGCACCCAAGAATCAGATCCGTCAACCGCGAGAGATCGTCAAACCATCGTCGCCGAGCCTCATGCGTACTATCAAAAAGTCTCACGTTACACAACCCGAAAGCCAACTTCCCTTCCATTTCCCTTACAAGTCTGCCCGAGAACCCGGTCACCGGTCAAAACGCAAAGGCCTTACCTCCTTTTCACAAACAGCAATCATCTAGTACTCATGCTGTCTCGGCGGGAAAGACCATCTCGTTGCCCCTTGGCCTCTCAGGCAGGCAGTCAGGTAGAATGGGAGGATCTCTTATTATCCTCATCGAACCCAGCCCCCTCTGCTCAGGCTTGAACAGATTTCTGTCTACGGTACCTGAGATAGACGGGCGGTGATTCAACATCACTTCATTCGAACAGTACGCCGCACACCCTCCGAAACCCCCGTTCGAGGCCCGTACCGTTTGCCACATCATCCCGTATTCGTACTCACAAACAGACCCCGGATCCCTCTAATCGAATACATACCGCTACCACTGTCCAAACGCCTCAATCTTGCATGGTGGCGTATATTGACATCCTTTCTGGACCGACGCCCCCTTTGTGCACTCCCCCTCCCTTCCCCCCTAGCTACACACACTTGAAACTTGGCGGCGGCGTAGCATAGAAGTATCAAGGTGCCGTCCAACAAGTATCCGGGCAAAAACGTTCCCCAGGGTATATATTCTTACCAGGAAAAGAATCCCACGAGTTAGCCTTACGGAACCCAAATGTTTGGGGACTTTGGTTTCCCCCCCATGTCTGGGACCCTTTTACCATTCCCTCGGGTCGGGATGGAAGAAGGGAACGAACAGACCGTTTTCATGACCCCTGAACATTGCCGAAATAGGGAAATGGTCCTCCCTCTGGGGGGAGGTATTGATGGTGGTCAGCAAGATCTGGTAGAGAAGCAAGTAGAATGTGTGAGAGTCTTGTGATCGCCTAGGAAACGAATATCAATTTGGTCAAGTCTTCCTGGCCGGTCTTCTTTTCTGTTGATTGATGGCCTATACATATTTTTTGTTTGGAGACCGTCATGACATTAGCAGGCGGTCTCGCCAGTACCTAGACCTGATGGACCATCCGGTAGTAATCGCGGGGCCTTGGTATCCGTGATGTATATGCTCTTTTCGGTAGGAATGGTACCGGATCATTATCTCTCCTGATCCTTCATATGGCCAAGTCAACCTCACTTTTACGCAAAGATGGGAAGAGGATATATCAATATTGAAATTGTATCTACGCCTTCGAAACTCGTTGCAAGTATCCTCGAGTGACGACCGTACATATCTGTAGTCAACCAAGTTCTCGGCCATGAAACTCGCAAATAACAGGTCACCCTATAGCTTCTCCACAAAGACAGAATACCCGATATGGCCCAACCAAGTCCCGAAAACGAGAAACCACAGGCGGCAAGCTCAACAGTAGTCGTCTTGGTTTTACTAGTCCTCGCCGAGAGAGCCGGTCTTCACTGCAGCAAATTTCGTCGAGAGTGTTTCTAATCTCACGACAAAGTCTCAGAACAAGAACCACAAAAGGCTCTGTCGTTAGTGAAAATACCTTAGCTGAAGGAGGCGAGACTGAGAATTCCCAGACAAGAACCCAATACCAAAATTTCTCTGGATCCAACGCAATGGATATCCCCTATCCCTCGCAGGCGGTAAAGAACGAAGGACCAGAAAAACGAACCCAACAAAACACACACCGCCGTATCGTGCATGACCACATCACTCAAGATCATTCGGTTCAGAAGCACCTCCAAAGCAAGAAAAATGTCTCGCCCACCTTCTCCTCACAACCAACACGCATGAAAGTTCCCCGGCACCGCTTCCGCCGTCTCCAAACCCAAAATCTTCTCGTTGGAAACCTCCCTGGCAGTCGGCCAACGCCCGTCCGCTCGCTCGCCCGCCCCTTCATGCATAACTCCCCCCTCCCTCCCCATATGCCCGTTGGCAGCATGGGAAATTTCGCGTCCCAGGTAATCGCATCCGCGATCCTACGAAAGAAACGCCCGAGAAGAAAGAAGCATAATACCAGAGGCTGGGGTGCCTCAATCCCCCATCCTTCCCATCGTCACCTCTCACCTACCTCTATGATCCTGCAGAGCCAGCTGTTCCCGCATGAGATGAGAAAGGTAGATCCCAGGCTCTGGGCTCCAGCGTGGCAGGGTCTCGTTGTAGGCGGCCCCTCATCACTCATCACCAAACCCCCCCGGTCCGAGGCCGAGGCCGATAATTGAGACCTAGACCGGTCTCGAGTTTGGTTGGGCAACGAGACAGCTTCCTGTGGAGAGACAATGAGAAAAAACAAAAAGAAAGCGCAGGGATAGAGGAGAGGAGGAGGAGAGAGGCCTTGCGGTGATGGACCGGTATGGGGAGGAAGCTTGGTACAAGTTTCCACAATCTTGCAGTACAAAGCTGTCTTTTTTCTCCCTCTTGCTCCTCTTCCTTACGCATACCTCGATGTGTAGGATTGGGCAGAAAAAACTAGCTCAATGCTCTTTTTCCTTTTCTACCCGAACCACTCATCTCGAGATCCGTGTTCCCGGATCCGGGCATCGGGCGTTCGATGGGTGCCCAGATACATCAGAAGAGGGGGGACTAAGGTCTCAAAAAGGGAGGGACAGTAGTGATAAGTATAAAGAAGTGTGAGTGTGTGCTCGCATGCATATGAAGTACAAGTGTGTGTGTGGAGAGCGAAGAGGGGGCAGAGAGAGGTTTGAGAAGGGGGGCGCAAGGCTGGGTGTACAGTACATCGTACTTTGTAGCGTATCATAAGGAGATCCGCCAATCCAGCCAACATGTGGACTGCAGGCTCGGGGCGGCGGGATTCCTCTCCGTCATGCAAGTCGTACGTCGAGGGTACATGTAGGTTGCTGGCTTGATGCGGGTCGGGGCGTTGGTTGGCAGCCTTAACGGAGAGGGCACGTTTGCCCAACTTCACCTCGGAGAAAGAGCGTGTCCTGTCTCCCGGTGCAAGCAAGATCATCCAGAAAAAAGAGCCGAGCCGGAGACAAGCAAACTAAAAAGAATCAACGATCTTGAGCTACTGTAGACGGCCCATGCAGGACATTGGATACTATCAGCAAGGGATCCGTACCTCATCAAACGTGGTCGATCACCAGGAAGATGAAGGCACAGCCCTTGGTGCATCCTCGCCTGCAACGTGTCGCCATGGGACAACAGCATGAGGCAGCCGAAAAGAAGGTTGGCTCGCAGCATGAGACCCATCCCACGACGCTCAGGTTCCCCATCTCATTGACTATCGGTGTGCCGTCTCCTACATACGTTGCCTTGAGAAGGGTTCATTGCTTTGCTGTTCAAATGTTGGCAGACACAGCGAAGTTCCTATCTTGGCCCTCGCACGATGCAGCTGTTGCCCAACCTGGCAGGGCTCAACGAAGGACTGTAACGTTGTCAGTGCAATATCCCATTGGCGGAACGGGGAAGCGGGAGCAAGAGCAACCAACAGACCAACAAGAGATGGGGGCAACAGGGGTAATGGAATGATGCGGATGGGCATGCGGGAGCCATGTAAACCAGCGTGATGATGTGGAGATGGGTAAGGGAACAATATCTAGCTGTCGACCAATCTTGGCTCTATTATCGTGTCTAGTGCAGTTGATTTTGTCGAACTGTGAAGGAATGTAGAAGGGAAATGACAAACCCTCCTGGCCGCATAACGTTTGCTAACGACCGTTGGCACCTTCCACTTCCACTCAATCTGTGATTCGCGACATAGACGATTCGTTCGTGGTAGCACTGGGAGCGTGACTGGACTTTTTCTTGAGTCGCCATCAGAGCTGGCCGGGTCGCCTCACCTGTAGCCGAACTCTGAAAGGGCTGCTCTTGTGGTTCTTGATTTGGATTATCGTCCATCATGACCAGATTCTATTTATATATATATATATATCATAATATGGTAGGTAGAGGGAAGAAACATAGCGGCCGCACATATCAGCCCCTGCGCTGCGGACGTGACAGCCATCCCGATTAACATTGGTCATGCCAAAAGACATGACGTGCAATACTCCGCTGACCGACATGCCCGTACTGGCCACTCTTCTCATCGCGCCCTCTTGCAATCCGGAGGAGCGTGCATAAGGAATTTCAACGCCCCAAGCCTGAGTCTGCTCCATGCCGAAAGAGAGCAGAGTATGCACTACGCAAAAAACACGGCCCAACTGCAATGCTGCCAAGCCCGCGCCGCCATCAACTTTTGGTTAATCCCGGCCCATTTTCTTCCCCGCCGATGAATCCGTACACAAAAAAGAATATGATGTAGTAACAAGAGAGGCGTAGCGACTATGACTATGTGCTGATTGGCAACAATGTTGTTTGCGCTCGTGTGCTACCTTGGATTTGACATTGTAGCTCAGAGATAGAGCGTATGCTGGGAAAGGCCAAGACAAAAAAATAAGGGGCCGCTTCGCGGAGCATCGAACTCGATCTGTGACTGCCGAGCCTGCGAAACATAAGAAAAATAAAAGGAGACAACATGGCAGAGAACGTCCGAGGATACCAAGACAGCGTAAAGAGAAAAGCAGAACTTGATTGCATGTTTTGATGCATTCCTCATCGTGTCCATATACGCTTGGCCAGAACAAAGCAGAAGAGTTTGCCGAATCGAGTGGTAGGCGGTACTCTGCAGGGGCGTCCCAAGCTTCGAGGAGAGCAAAACGATGAAGCCCGTGAGACGATTTGGGATAATTGGTAGTCTGGAGCTCCCGATCTTGCCAGGCTTGATCTGCGCTTGGCCAGACCGAGAAGTGAAGGCGTATCTTGGTAAGGGAGAAGAAAACGAAGCGAACTTTCGGTACTCCCACGACGTACAGTAGATAAGTTTAATGGACAAGTTATTCGACAAAACGTCGCATAGGTAGCAGCAAAGTACGCTTGCTTGTTGGCAGGACGGCACCAGAGCGACTAAGTCGCACGTCTGACATTCAAGTAGACGAAGAGTGATGGTACAGAAGACAAATCACTCCGACGTTCCGCTTGAGGTGTCTTGCTTTGGCGATGCGGTATCGAATGTTACTAGCTTGCCTCGTCCCGTGCTAAACATGAGTATGCGACGGGAGGGTGACGGCAGGAAACTCGCCAGCAGTCTGCCCCCATCCTGTGAGACGTGACGTAACCCTCGGTAGTCTGAGTGACCACTCTTGAATCATTGGGTTTGCCTTGGAATTGGTCTCCTTGCCGTCCAAACAAACCTGCGTCCGGCAATCAGTACTCTGCATCATAAAAAGCTGGGAGCTACTAGACGGTAGTCTGCAGGCGGTAACTTACATTCTGCAGTAAGCATGAACATTGAGTCGACAGATTTCCTTCTTGAGATCGTCGACCAGTCTGTCCACATCCTGTCTCGGCCAGCCTTCCACCCGAATAAAGGGCGCAAGCGTGAGGCCTTCCAAGCAATGCGTAAGGCCGAGATTGAACCATCTACCCAGCTCTTCTTCCATCGGGTTCTGGCTCCACGGGTTCGTTGGTAGTCTAATCATCTTCTCGGTGATGTCTGTAAACCCTGCAGCATGGAGCTCCTTTTTCGTGTCGATTATATCGATAGGTTGCCCGTACCTGTGCATCACACGCGGAAAGTTCTCACCCCAAAAGACGAGAGGCGATTCAGGCGCGAGAGTGTTGTCGTCGCTGCGAGGAATCCATTCGATTTCCACCTGCTCAATGTAACCTCCGGGCTTGATGTGCCTGAATGACTTCCTGTACAGGTCTGGCCAATCTCTTATGGAACCAAGCAGCATCTGGATATGAACCAGATCAAAGGTTTGTTCCGGGGCTGGTAGTGGCGCCTCCACGTCGGCTCGCTCGAACCTTACACATGTAGGGATCCTGCAATACGATGAGCTTTCGTTACGAAGAGCGGTAGAAAAGGAGATGCAGAACATACAGCTTGGGCTGGATGAGAGAAAGATCGAGCCCCAAGACCTGAGCCTTTTGATCTTCGTTTACATATAGCTTACTATGGTGTGATAGTGTCAGCAAGTCTAGGTTCTAGCAGTCGGCGCACGGAGGGTGGATAATCTTACTCGCCCACGTCGATCGCCCAAATGCCAGTGCCCGTCCCGAGGTCAAGGACATGGGGTTTGGCGGGCAGAGGCACTTCCCAAAGGCCCCCTCTTGCCTTGGTTATCAGATGGTGGAAGATGTCTAGCCTGTCTTTCTCAAGCTTCGCAATGAGTTAGCATGAGGAAAGATTCACCGCGGCGAGGAATCATAGGTAATCTACCTCGTCGACAGGAAAAAGATACCGCCCGCGTCCGAATGAGCCATACTGGCGGCCATGCTCAGTGTAGTCAGGGTACTCAGTACCAACAGTCCCACTGTACATGGCACGTTAGCGCTGTATCCTGATGGTGCCCAGAGCAGCAATGGCACTGTCGTGTTTGGCATCATGACATACCCGTTTTGTGACATTGTTACCATGCGAAAGGCAACCTGGATCGAAATTATTTGCCGACTGTGGTTGATTTCTAGTCTGTCTCCGGGACTTGCATCAACAGATGACGGGCGATGCGCGTAAAAGCAGCAGGTCGACCTATCACCAACGTCCAAAAACTAAGAGAGTGCTGCTATGTCTGAGCTTCTTGCAACACTGCCGGCGTTTCGTCTCGTCGCGGTACAGTGACGGTGTTGGCTTTTGCAAGTTAGTAAATTTACGATGAAGTTCGCGTCCGCAGGAATAAGAGATGGATCATGGGCTGATAGGCAAGGTGTGAAGTGAAGCTGGTGACTTTGAAACATGAAAAGGGGATTGGACCTGGAGAAGTGGAATCGAGCAGCGGGCAATTTAAAGTGTGCGTGCAGTAGTAAGTCTTGAATGGGAAACGAAACGAAATGATGGTCGCAGTGCAGGCGGCTGCAAGTCGATGGGAGCACACACTGATGGCATCCAGGGAATCACACAGTCAGTACGACTGCCTTTTATGGAGAAATGTGACCTGAGCAGCAGCCCCGTCTCATGTCATGAGGGTTGGTACCGGGAACGAGGGAAACGACAGACGGCCAAATGTAACAGACGCCAGTCGGAAAAGGGGGTAAAGGCAATGAAGGAGGCATTGATCAAGCCAGAGTCTTCTTCCTGCGTCTGAGCTGGGCGACTCCTACCAGCTTCTTGTATTTCCAAGAGAATTGCGTCGGAACGTAGGTAGCCAGGCGCCTCTCTTACTCAAGACCGACGCCATCACACACATGGCGTTGTTCACCACAACAATAATGCACATGAGACACTCTCTTCGACCAGGCCACGCTTGCACTTGCACTTGCGTCGACCAACACATACCCGCGAGCGCGCGCCTACATCGGATCGAACGCATCCTTCTGCATTTGGGTGATTATGGTCCCTTCGGTGTACAATAATAACCTTGCTGGCGCGACACTCCAACTTAATGCCCAGCCAACACTACGACTGGAGAAGATGCGACCAAAAAGAGAGTGGGAGAGACAGGAAGAGCTGCGGAACAGCTGTTGCCCTCCGTAGCGGTATGGATGGTGAAAATGACATGGGTCGAGGTGCAGCAGGTTAGGGCAGAGGAGAGGGCCGAATGCTGGGCCTTGACAGCGTACCGGTACATGTACCTGCATGTAAACGGTCGCAGCATCAGCCTGCTCGAAGCTGGGGGTGTAAGGGAATTGTGCAGAATGCATGTGTGCAACTGTGTCTGTTTGTGGAGAGGTAGGCTCATCTTGTCCACGTAACCAATCCTAGGTTTCTTCTTGATATGCTGCGGAAGGGGAGGGCTAGATAGGGAATGAGGCAGAAGCATTCTTCAAGGACCAAAATGTCATTGAAGTTCGTAACGTGGATACAAATAAGGCATCCCTCATCGCGGCGGTTATCCAGAGGCAGGCAGGCAAATTGAACAGGTGACATGTGGTCGGGTTGGTCCAGAGAACAGGTGTGACGACGAAAGGAAAGCAGACAGCGATTGACGTACATTTTGTTTGGGACGGAGAGCGAGGTTTCTTCCACGACCGCTTAGAACGTCGAGCGAGTCAATTGATGTCGCACAACGAGTTGGAGAGGTTGTGCAGACCCGGTCCAGTGCTGCGGTACTCGGCGTCTTTCTCGTCGTGTGCAGATTGGCCAGGAAATCGATAGGTTGCGAAACGACGAGAGGCGTCGCAGAAGGCGAGAAGCCGTTGGTTGGGTCGGGCTGGGTTGGGGTTGGAGTTTCAGAGCGACCTCGACTTTCTGCGTCGATATCTTGGCGATGAGATGGGCCGACTTGGAAATTATAAGGTAAAGGACGTAATAAACCTAGCCAAAATGAGAAGAGATCGAGGCGATAGCTGAAGCTGTCCAGCCGACTTGAGATGCAAGGACACTGATAATAGGGCGGTAAAATTGGCCAAGATTCGCGGTCAAGGCCCAGATCAAAGGCCGAGGGCTGAGGTTTCGAAGTGTGGTTCTGGTTGTGGTCGTGGGCGAGGACGCTGCAGGGTGACGAGATGTGATGCAAGTCGACACGGGCGAGACGAGCTTCAAGTCTCCGTTGGGCAGGTTGGGTCAGGTCGGGTTCGTTTTGGCGACGGGCGGGAGCGGGAGCAGCAGCAGCGATCTGATGGGATGGGATGTATGGAGTAAAAGAAAGAGAAGATGTAATCCAGCAGAAAGACAAGGGAGGTAGGGATGCTCGCTCTTCTCTGTAGTTGTATAGAGGGCAGAACCGCTGGAGCAAGCAAGGAGCTCCTGACTAGGGGACCTGACGACGAGGAAAGGTGGTAAACCACGGTGGGTGAGGTACAAATAGTCGGTCGTGTGGACTACAGTCGTACTGCGGCAGATGTGCCTTTACGTCTCCCCACGACGTTGTGAGGGGGGACCCTGGACTGGACTCGATCAAGTGAACAAGCGAGGACGGAGTGATGCAGATGGAGAGAAAGACAGCTTCTCTGTTAGTCCCTCCTAGTTGTGGCTAGCTGGCTCGCTGGAAGTCCCGGGTGTTGGTGCTTGTCTTTCTGTGCTTTGGCCCTAGAACGTTTCTAGAGAACAAGTGGTGGCGTGTGCGTATGTGTGTGTGTGTATGCGTGTGTACGTGCACCGGCAGGTGTGAGGTGTAATTGTAGTATCCGTATGCAAGGTCAACGCGGGTATCTGAAGGCTTTGAAAGTCAACGTCGTCAAGTACTTGTTGGTGGGGGAGTCGCGTCAAGCAAGTCTAGCTTTAGAGTGGGCGGACCGGCGGACAAACGGTGGCGGCGCCTACGACGCTTTCTATGAGGTCTGTGGGTGGAAGAGGTGTGAAATGCAGACAGAGCAGGGACTTTCGGATTGAAGGCTAGGCTGCCGGATGGTATTGAATATCGGCTCTTGAGAAGAGAAATGTCGCAAGGTAATCGTAGACTAGAGTTTGCTCTCCGCTTCCCGTAGCTCGGGGGATCGTCCGCTGTTAAGTAGAATTAGTGGGTTTCTTCATCGTCATCTTCTTCTTCTGTTTCTGTCTTTTCCACAGATACCTCTCTCCTTGTCCTCGCGCAAGTGTGTTCTGCCCCCTCCCTGTTCCTGGCGCTGGTGCTGGCGCATGCAATTCCCATGGTTGCTGTGGGATTTTGGGTTGATGCCACCCCTGCCTGGAAACTTGAGGACGCCCGATGTGATGGAGCTGGAGCTGGAGCTGGGACTGGAGCTATAACTGGAGATGATGACTTGTAACGTGAAGGCGGGAAAACGCTGATGGACAGCGGGCTGGTGTAATTGCGCTTCCAGGGTCAGTTTCTTCTGTGGACTTCCAGAGCCTTGCCTGTGTCATTGTCGTTGGTCTGTCCGTGGCTTGTCGCCCATCGAAAGGCCTAGCTTTCCACTCGTCCCACTCCATCTGTCTCCATTTCACCATGTCACTTTTTCCCTTGAGAAAAGCACCCCAGGCTCTTCCAACCCCAGCCCGCCATGGATCATGACACTTGGATAAAAAGCACGGAAAATGCGGAAAGGGGGCTTGTCTCCTACCTGGAAAGCATTCTTAACCCTGAGCAGGGCCTCCGCGTAATATAATGGATGAAGAAGATTTCGAGAAGCCAGTTCGGACCAGCTCGAAGATGGGCAAGGTATCCGTACTCCGTAGGCCAGATGTGCGAGGAATGCAAAACCGAGTCCGTGTTCCTCAGCTAGCCGGGGTGTTGCACAGACATACAGCGCCGTGATAGGTGACTGGAGGGAGCGAAATCGAGCTGGCAGAAGACGACTTGCAGCGGGAGATGGGAATGCAAGACAAAGCGCCTGATGGACCGCAGCTTCATACGCGGCAAATTCGATGTGAGGTAGCTTGTTCGTACCACGCGGTATGCGGGCTCAATTGGTTGAGAAGTTGAGGTGAGGTACCTTGGGGTGGAGGATCATGAGATGGATGTAAGGTAAGGTAAGGAGGGTAGGTGAATGAAGACAAGTCAAGGAAGGCGAGGCGTTGGGGTCTGTGCTCCAACGAAGGCGATGGAAAATAAAGGGGAAAGAGGTGGTGGGTGATGGAGGAAGGTAGCACACACGATGTGGAAGCACGGAAGGTGCGAAAGGAAAACTTGGAACTCTCCTTCTGGATCATCCCGTCCTAAAGTATCTTCCATACCTTGTACCCAGCTCCAATGTTTAAGTCTCTTTCCTCCTTATTCTTCTTGTTCACTCCGCCTCTTCATCTTACCTAGGTACCTAAGGTAAGGTACGGATTCCCAACCTTACAGACATTGACCGACTACTGACGACTGACGACTGACGACTGTCTACTACCTAGTCTCTTTGAGTCTTGTGGACTTTTCTACCTCTTCTACCATGGTTAATTAAGACCAAATTGTCAACAACCCTCGGCGGTTCGTTGCTTAGTTCACTTTCAAGCATTGCCTTGAGTTGCGTGTCTCACTGCCTCTACCCTTCTTTCGTGCTCTTCACCGACTCTGTTCTTTCTTTTGCTCTCACTCCCGGTCTCTCCTCTTCCCATCCCACGTTGCCATTACCCATCTTTCCTTCCGTTCCATAACATGCCCCTCAAAGTTTCCTGCCCTACCTATACTTAGCTTTTTGCAACCCTAGTCTAGCACAAAGAAAGAGTACGTATCTCGAAGTACATGTTCAATATCTGTACATGGATGGGCAGATTCAACTTGGACCAAGTCGGCATAGCCTGCGATAGACCTGCCTTGCCAAAATGGCTCTAGCGTACGGCAATCAGCGTCACTGTAGGAGCGTCTTCAACTGCACTCTCACTCTGCGCCACACAGCACTGCTTGCTGAGGTAATTACATACAAGTGAGAGATGCGGCGGTGGCCACTCCGCATGACCAAACACTGTTCCAACTCTTCTCTTTTCACCATTTGTTTTTGTCTTCTCCTCGTTCATCTTCATATCTGGGTTTAATACTCCCGTGACAAAGAGCATAAGGTTTGACCTGTCACCCCGAGTCTTCGACTGATTCGACCTGAGACCAAGTCCAACGACCCCAGCCGCGTCCATTCCCCAGCCCGATGCTTCGACTCTCAACCAGGCGTCTGTTTCGCCCGTCCAGCCTCCCTCTTTGTGTTTTACTCTTACGCAGTACGTAGGTACCTGGACTGCGGCGCTACTGTACGTCTACCAGTAGGGCAGGTTTGGTGGAGAGGGTCAGGGGGTCAGTATCCGCCCGCCTATTTCAGATTCCCACCCTCATGTTCCTTCACCCATTACCCATTACCCACAACGTACTCCATACACTAGTGCTGGACCTATCCGTACTGGGTATCTGTATGGGTAGCCAGGCAGACAGGATCATCAAGGCAAGCAAGCATCGTGTGCGACCTGGCAATCTGGTTTTCGATGTGTATCAAAGGCCGGACTCCATGTGTCGAAAACCTCACCCAGTTGGGGGTACGTATCTAAAGACGGATATCTTAGGTACTTCAAGGTAGGGTCCGTACCTTAGGTAGGTGCTCAACCACCTCATTCCAAGTTGGTCCGGGCTTCGTCCAGTCAACCGAGATCACGTATTGGCACTTTTCCAGTCGTACGGACCCAAATACCTCCTGTTCTTAAGGTACTCCGTACTGAGCAGCTCAGAGACGTAAAGTCATATCACCCTGCTCTTCTCCCTAGTGGCGTCCAACAGAGTTCCCAAGGCTTGCGGCCTTGACGACAAGCCATGGGCTGCCAGCGACAGCTTTGCACGGCGGTTGGTCTTAGTGCCCGTCCACTGTGTCTTGGTGATCCCTTGCAAAAGCCAGGTTGTGCTGGCCGGGGTTCCACGGTGTACTGCGTAGAAACAGTTGGGAGCCCTGGAGGAAGCCTTGTTCCCGCTTCACCCCGGCCACATTTTGGAAATATACCCTGCAAGCCATCTTGAGGGGGGAAGCCCCCCCTTGGCCCTTGGCCCCCCACCTACTGGCCCCTTGTGTCTCTTCCCGCGCCCCCATTTTCATCGCGCGTTCCTCCGCTCGATCCTGATTCGGTGAAACAAGATGGATTCGGTTCAACGAGTTGAGCATTCTGGCATGGTCGCATGGGTCTCATGGGTCTCATGGGTAATAAATGTGCAGTAAAGCAAACGCACTCTGTGCGAAGCTATCAGCGGGCCGGCGCTGGGCACAAGACTGTTTCTGTAAGTATAGGCTCGCATCTAGGTATTGGATCCGTACTTCCTCGCCTGTCAGTGTCAGTGTCAAGCGTGTCAAGCAACTTGGCGTACCTTATCGAGTCGTTCGGATGAACGCTGGGAAATGGGAGGGACAACCTCAAAGTCTCCTCTTTGTCAATTTGCTGCTTGGTCGGCCCATCTTTACCATATCTTCGCCTGGTTCACTGTGGTTTCCTTTCTTAAAGAAAGCACAAGCATTGCTCAGAGCGGGCGGTCATGAACTGGGACATGACCTGGGGTAGGACTTGCCCCGTTTCTACGTGGACGTCCTCTAAGTGCCTGCTTCCTCTCCGTCATTCTTTCCTTTCCCGACCTCCAACGTTGCTGCCACTGTTTATCCGGCTTGGATACGTATTTGCTCATTCAGCAATCCTTGCACCTCTTTGCATCAGGTACCTTCATCATCAAGAATTTCCCCTTTGGTTCTCATGCTTGAGTTCCATTTTTGTATTCCAATCAACAACATCCCCTGGGTGACGATGCGTCTAGCACATCCATCATTCAGTCAACTAGCTCTGCCCCATTACCCGCACCCAAACCAACTTCTCGCTCTGCATGCCTGGCCGCAAGAGACTCTACTGCCAACAATCCGCGGATTTAACAGCTCAATTATCAACTGATCCAGGATACAAGGCTGTGGTACATCCACTCTACTTGTCTCAAGGTTCGAGACATGCTCGCTGAATACTCCTTCTCGAGTTCTCCGACACAAGACGGAACGCTTCCGGAGATGCATGGTAAAAGGGTACGCATTACAGCAGTATCTCGCGATGCCATCTTTTTACACAGTGGCCTTGATTAATTGTCTTGGGCTATCACCTCCATGTTCAACATCGCAGACTCTCACAGTATGCATTCCTCCAAGAACGTTAAGAGAAGGGTGGCACGATCATGTCCAGGTCATCTGCCTGAATCGAGCCGGAAATCTGACGCTGCGACAAGTCAGCAACCAGACCATACGCCGTCCATTCTGAGACCACGATATCCTTACGAATACGGAGCCAATAAGTGACCCAAGGATCCACCCGATTTCCTCTCGACGGCCACCGCCTGATTATGTTCAGAAGCCCATATACTTAGCTCTTCGCGGAGGCCGCTCAGACATGTGCTTGAGCACAGGTTGAACACCTG